CAGCAGGAACAGATTCATTCATAGGCGTACAGTCCAGATATGGTGATGTAGCTGTATTGCAATGCACAGGAAAACAATAACTGAAGCAGCAAAAAAGACGTACCTGTATGGGTAGCCATGGTATTTAGATTTGAAGACAGACAGCAACCAGCTGAAGAACACCACCACCAAGCCAATACCAGCAATACACATAACTGCAAGAGATGCAGGATAAGATTCTGGTAACGTGACAGCAAAACCACCCGTATGATTGGGGTTTTCAAAAGCATTCTGTAGTATTTACAGATTTGGTCAGATGAGACGTCTGTTAGAGTCACTGAGAAGAACTAAATTAACACTGATTTTCTTTCAAATTCCTACTGTAACTCAATTTTATACCATCGCTTTAAGAGAAAGCGAGATCCTTCTTCTCTCCCTTACTAGCAAAATGCTGCAATGCTTCTTTATTTCTCCCGATCTCCGAAAAGGGCTTTGAGTTTATCTTAAGTTTGCTAAGCAACCCCAAATGCTGCCAAAAACCCAAACAATTCAGTTCTGCTTAGAGGCAGGAAGTATGCAAAAATCCATAGAGCAAAAGCATTTCTATTAAATTGCGTGTCAAAAATCTTCACTGCATGTGCCTCCTCTTTGACAGAAAAAGTATTAGTACTTACTTTTTCTTTTCCCCACATCCATGTCAGAAGTAGCAGCTTCGTGGAGGAGTACCATTCCTAAAGTAACACCACCATCTACGAACGCTGTTTAAGGCTAAATCAACAAAATACAATAGACTCAATATAACACACTCATTCCTAATCTCGTAAATTCAGCTGGGGCATTAAAACTCACTGGAAAAATTAAAGACTTCCCAGCCAAACCAGCAACTAAGGGGGAAAAAAGAAAGGCATTCATAATGTCAACTTTTAAGAGAAAATAAATACAAAGTTTAAAATATAAACTGGAAGGTATAGTAGGTCTTGACACACAATTAAAAACATGCATTTATTATCTCAGTTTGTAATGAAACAGCATTCCTTCCCAGAGAGCTTGGTCCGTTCCTGCTACTGTTCACTGGAAAATCCCAAAAGGAATTCAACTTCTGCATTTTACTCAGCTAACAGAATGAATGCAATGCAATGTTTAATCTAACAGGATATTTTTCAAGTAGCAATATTTCAGTCTTTTCTAATTCTTCAATTAAAAAACAAAGCTTGTAAAATTAAGGAAGCACAGACGACTTAAAAGGTCTGACATTCGCAAAGAATGAATCCTAGCGAAGCAAAATAGTGAAGCCGGTGGAACAAAAGACAGAATTCCCAAAGATTTAATTCCATTTCACTATAGATGTTCAGTCCCAATCCTCCTCCTGAAATGAGAAATACTTATCATTGACTGCAACAGGACCGTTAAGAAATCTTTCCATTTCAGATGCGGTCTACCTTCAGCACAAGAAAAAAAAGTGACTTCGACCTACAGGTACCTTGCCAACTTCTACCATTTTAAATGTCTCCAGCAACTGGCAGATTGGGTCCATAATGTGATGGATAGCAATAACACAAAAAAACTGTCAACAAAACATTTCCAGGTTGAATTTGACCGAGTGCATCAGAAGAACAGTAATAGTTAGAAAAAGATCAGAAATCCCCCTTCAAATGAATGATTTAAGTTAAAAAAAAAGAAATCCTTGACAGTGAATAGAGAGTAAAGTTCTTTTAACACCAGCATATTTAAACATCAATTGTTTACTTCATATTATTTTATTACAAAAAACCCAATGCATCCCTTGCTGAAATTGGGATTTTTAATAGATAAAACAAGAAGGGAAAAGGGAGAGACTAGCAGAAGTTGCTCTGTTAAAGAACATTGCTGTTGCAACAGAAGAGATGACTTAATCATTGTCAAGCAGTAAAGACAACAGATACTTTGAAGTGATGTAGTAAGTCTGCTATTCTGTATACTACAAAACATAAACAATTTGGGACTGTGAAGCTGCAAGAAAAAAAGATCATAGAATCCTAGAACGGTTAGGGTTGGAAGGGACCTCAAAGATCATCTAGTTCCAACCCCCCTGCTGCGGGCAGGGACACCCTCCGCTAGACCACATTGCCCAAAGCCTCATCCAACCTGGTCTTAAACACTTCCAGGGATGGGGTGTCCACAACCTCTCTGGGCAACCTGTTCCAGTGCCTCACCACTTATTACTGAATAAAATAAAAAATCCTGAATAAAAGATAGAAGAATGCACAGGCTGACAGAAGTGACGAGATAAGGAAGAAAAGCTTGAGTCAGAGATGACCAAAGTTACAGATGATGGATCAAAAACATACACGTGGGAACAGAAGAAAAGAACATTGAGTTTTAGAGTATTCTTGACTCCAAAGAAACATTTCTTAATACAAATGAGAAAGGCAAAAGCTCTCAACCTGAAAGTTTATGCTTGCCTTTCTTGATGGCCTAATACTGGCATGAAAAAAACCCTGAATCATTAGCATGAACAAGTGGTAAGATTAAAAGTAAAGAAGGTAAGCAAAAAAAATAAAAGAAGAAAGATCAGTAACAGAGGGAGAAATTCTACACCAAAGCAAGAACTAAGTAAGTGAGATTGAAAAGGTAAGACATATGCACAGAAGAACAGGGGCTATCCTGAAGAATCTTACGACTCCACAAAGACCCACATCTTTAACGCTGTATTCAGTTCAGTCATTAAGCAAAGAAGAAGGTGGTGAGAAAGCAGTAAACATTTTTCTATTCAACTTAAATATCCCTGGTATAGGACACAGTTGTCTGAGAAAGGCTTTACAAGCTTCTGCATCAGTATTACATGACAATTACGAGCCTTGACAAAGTACTCTCATAGAAAAAGCAGCAGCATAAGCTAACAGAAAAATTGTCACCAACCACATGCTTCTCAGTAGGAAGGATACTGAACAGAAGAACAATGTGTGTTTCTGCCACAAATTGGGCTTGGCTGCTTCCATGGATATAGTTCTGCAAGAGACAAAGAGTAATTGAATTCAGAAAAGACTGGAGTCAACTTTGACATGATTAACACCAGCTCGAGAGCTTGGAACTGGGTTTTGCACTGTCTCTTTCAGGAGACAGGACAGAAGTTGGAGCACAAACAGTTTCATCTGTTGACCACTGATTTTTGGGGGAGCTACGTCAGCATCAAAAATCCTTCTTCTATTAACATGCACAATCAGCCCAACGTACCATTCAGATTATAACAAGTACAAGTGCAGCTACAACCGTCGTGGTCCAGATCCCCTGTCCAGCAGGGCAAAATCCCATAATCACATCCTCCTGCACCCACCGTGATCCACGTCTGATCCATTCCCTGACTTAGATTCTTAGGTTATGTACGTTGCTCCTGAGCTCAAGGGCAGTCTCTTCAATCTGTGCGTGAATCCTACTCACTTGGCTCCAGAACCAAGCATTCGAAATCTTTTTCACGGCACACCAGGAAAAGGAACATCACTACCAATAACACTGAAGCTTTATTCTTCAGTCTCAGAAAGGCTTACGAAACATGTAAACAGAAGCAGCAAAAGGAAGCGTTTTCAAGAAAACATTTAAAATATGAGAACTTCCACTCAGTCAGTTGGCTCAGTTCTAGTTACATTAATAGTTTAATAACCAACTGGGTTAACAGAAAACTTGACATTTGTGAAAGAATACCATTTTTGCATCCCTTATGGGAAGCTCTGCATCACTATGGTTGGGATGTTATATCCAAGCAGGGGGAAAAAAAAAAAAGTTTGATAAGCAGATTCACTTTTTATGGAAGGGCCTGCCCCACCTAACCCAGCATGAAAGGACACTTCACAGAATTAATTCTCTTCTGAGTAAAATACCTGAGAAAAGCCAGTATGTGATGTGTAAGCACCTGAAGAGATGCAATGCTCTCAATACATTTCGACGACTCTTACAGCATCTCTCTTGCTATATTATGTACAGAGCAGTATATTTCAAGTGATGTTAAAACTGGTTTTTCCCCAAGAATGAGATTTCATAAGTCTAAGGTCACTAATTTACCTCAAGAATTGCAAAGAAAGATGTTTTTATATGGAAGTCATTAGATGGGTGTATGATCTAAAAAGACCAGGTTAAACACGAAATTGCCAGGCTCAGCAATGGGGCTGTTCACCATGCAAGACTCAACGTAAAGACCTTTATTTTGTTGTTAGCAATTTAGAATTGTCATGTCTCTTCATCATTAGAGATACAATATATGTACAAGACAGAGGAAAGCTAATGTCACAGGTAAATAAATGCTGAAAAGAAAAAGGAATGGTTAAAAGATGCATAGGAGGTCAGAGGAAGGGAACAGATCAGGTAATTTAAAATACTCTACCCTCAGAACTCGATCAAAAAAACCTTGTCATTACGCTTCCTCCAAAATGTATCACTATTTCTACTTGTACATTTTGGAGAGATGGGGAACAACAAGGAGAACAACAGGAAGGATGAAGGGAATGCTTATCTTGGGTTCTGAAGCAAAGAGGAACCTTTGTTAGCAAATAGTTTTGGTTGCTCTGTACGCTACCCTCTTTACCCTAGAGATTATCTTAGTACCTTCTTAGCTTTCTGTGATTACTAGAATAATCAAAGTTTCTGCACACGTAAAGACCTTGAACTCTCTAGGTATTAACACAACAAAAATAAGCTCCAAGGTAACACTTTGGAACCAGTATGGCCTGTTTCCAGCAGATTACCTTTCAGCTGTCTAATGCTTTATTACACGGAAAGCACTTTGAGCAGTTTCTAACAAGAAACTGAACATACTGCTAGATGGTAACTTAATATTTCTCATCTGATTAAGAATTTTTATTCTATCTCTTAAAAGCTTATTACTGAGCACAGAAAGCAATACACCTAAAAAAAACCTAAGCGACGTTTGTCCCTGCTCTTAGAATATCCCAGAACCAATGCTACCATTCTTACGGAATTAATGCATCATTGAACAAAAGACTGTAAGAATGACCTTCCTAATAAAAAGGAATTTTAAGTAATGGTTGAAGTTATCACACACCAATTACACAACAGACCACTTTGTTTTGGATTAAGATCAGTATTTTGTGATTTCTTAGCAGCAAAGTACAAGTTTACAAACAGAGTTTCTTCTTCTATTTGAGCAAAGAAAAGCATAAAGCTAATTGGAAGAAAATCTAAATCTTGACTAGAGCTCTAACACTCCTTCTGTTTCACACAAAACAAAACCCCTCTTTTACAGGTATATCTTAAGACAGATCCTCTCTGAACTAATCAACAGCTCTCTAATTTGCCTTGCTCACTGCAGGAGAGGTTAGCCTCACTGACTTACAAAGAAAGAAGCCAAGAATAGGATTGGCACTCTGACTTGCCTTTTTAAGTATCAGCTTTATTCTGTAGAAATACAACAGAAATGCAGAAAAGAAAATTAAGACTTACCACTTGTCCTGTATGGGGATTCTTATGAGCATAGGGTGGACCTCTGATGTGGTTCCACATCTGGCCCGATGTCATTGCTAACACAAAACACTGAAAAGGAAAATAAGAAACACTATTTAATGAGGATTTTTTTAATTTTATTTTTCACCTAATTTCTTTTCATTTCATACCAAAACATGGATTGATTGGAATACAGTCTTAGGCTAGGCATTGTCCTACCTGTTATTTGTATAAAAGACATCTAATCAAGCATTAACTGAGCTGAAAAGACCAAGATCAAATAATACTGTCAGACTACCAAAAAGCAAAACTAAATGCACCTCACTTTCCTCTACCAGGTTTAAGAGTCTTTACATACAAAAGCTTTTAAAGACTTGAATTGCTACAAAACGCATGACAACAGACAAGAGTTATAATTACTCACCAAAGCAGCAAACGCCCAGCCAGTTTTGTTATAAAGAAAATCCAGGTTGCTTCCACGTAAATATACCAGGCCTCCGATGACAGCCAGCAGCAGTCCTAACATCAACGGTCCAGCATAGTTTGGCGGCCTTATCACACGAATCTAAGCAGAAGGTATTTAAATTATTTTCCTTCAATGGGATTATACACTATACCTGCACTCCTGCTAACAAAACCCACAATATATTAGAGTGGGAAAAAAATATCACCACACACACAAAAATTTTCTATATAATAAAACAGACTTGGGAAGAAATAACGCTTCTTCCCCGATTACTGGAACTTCAGTTTTATACACCTTTACCCTACCTAATCATTTAAAGACTGCTTTTCTTCCATAGGAACAGAAGAGGGAGAAGAGAATGAAGGAGATGAGTTTTACCACCTTATCAAATACAGAATTACACAAAATACTATAACACAGAATGTAAGGAAACTTAAAGATGCCCTCATGTGCCCAAACTAGATTTTGTAGACAAGAAGTATTTGGAGCCACGGAACACAACTGCCATGTTTTGTAGCTGGAATTACGTAGTACAGGAATGCTGCAGAGGTGGCGATGGGGAAGGTCTGTATATACTTACATTGACATCAGTTCTGTCAGCCACCCAACGAGCAAGCTGTTCAGCTGCAAAGCCACGCACCTGAAGTTCATATGTGTCACCTCGTTTGGGCTTCCCTTTAGCAGGAAAGTTAATGAAGGTTGGAGCAGAATTCATGTTTAGCTGTGTTTAGAAAATTCAGAGAAGATACAGCATCATGAAAGGTGTATTGAGGAACACAATTCTATGCCATTTGTATCTCGCAACATTGTCACTGAATCAATCAGAAAAAATAACTATTCAATAAATTGATTTCATTGACAATGACTTACAAAAAAAAAAGTAAACACAGCACACAGTAGCTTACATTTCTGTATTTCATCAAAGTAATCAATATGCTCCTGCAATTTCCCTTTTGTGTTCCCTGCTGTTTTCTCCTTTTAGTATTGAGGAACAAAATTTTTTAGCTCTCTTTTTAGCTGTTCTTGATGTCTTAGAAAAAAATTGTTACTTCTGAGTAGGCTTTTTTTTTTCCTCCTTTAAACACAGTTGAGCATGCTTTCTGAAGTGATTTGACATTTCTTTGTTAGTACTCAGATCTATAGCTACTGATTCAAAAGATTCAGACCAGTTAAGAGGAGATTATAATAGGTAAATAAAAGTGGTTGTTCACAAAATGCAGTTCTATCTTTTTCTAACACACTTTTTCCCATAGCATTTCAGTGTTTTTGAATCGGTTTTCTTCTCTAAATACTACTTTTGGGAGAGAAATTTGCAAAATAGGTGTATATATACAATAATCTATAAAGACCACAGGTTGATGAATGAATTTTTGATGTAATACTATGTGAAAATTTAACAAGAATAATAAAAGACTTTCCACCTCTCTAGTCCAAAAGCTTCCATTTAATAAACTACCATTGCCTAAATTGTGTAGT